CTTGGTAGAACAGATCGTGGGCAAAAGAACATGGTTGAAGGGAATCCCCAGAGCACCCGTGGGTCGGTTCGACAGTTTATTGGCCGACGCGTAACGACGGAACTGGAAATAGGGGATCGCCAACAGCATTGCCGCATGATGTGCGCGTGCAGGCGCGTGCATACTGAGAGCTGAGATTAATGAGCAGGCGAGAGAGTGCTACGACGCACAGTAGTCCCGGAATGGAACCGAAGAAGGCGACGGTGTCGCCCACCACGACGTAATCCATATGCCTTCCGGGTCGACGGGTGAGTCCACGCAGTGAGAAATCCCGACGCGTGCAAGCAGCAAGACGCATGCAGATGCCACGCACCAGTGACCAGGGGAGGGATGACAGAAAACGAACCATGACCATGGAGCAAACGAGCTGATATTTTGTAGAGAGAGTCCGGTAGACACTGAAAAGGATACGATGGACAGCAGCACAGCAGCGGGAAAGAAGCAGTAAGAGAGAAGATGGAGGAGGTGGCAAAGAGGCGCCCGATCACGTGAGCGCTACGCGCCCCGCGTGAGGCCAAGCACAGACAAACTATCGTCTTCTCAAGTAGGCGTCAATATTAAAATAGATTTGCTTCAACCTGATATCTGGCTGCTGATTCTGGCACGCATGAGAAGATGGAATTCGACTTTTGGACACCAAGCATGCCGCTCTGACTCAACGCAAACTCGACGGCTTATGTACTTAACGACTATCGTATGTAGTTGATGATTTGAATACATGGTATATATACACTATAATGTGCACATAAAACTTGATGGAGTCAGGTTTCACTGTGGAAAAAAACGCATCAATCCTTTTAAGAAAATGGCTCAAATTGGTATAGACTCACCATAAAATCCGACCAAGCAGGCTCATCCCACTCCTCCACGGGTGTTGGAGTGGCTGGGTCTGCAGCAGGAACGACGAAGCGGACCTTTCGATCCATCCCCGGGAAGAGTGTAGTATCATCGGACTCGATCGAGAGCGAGACCTCGTCCCAGTCCGCCGGCGGCGGGAGATCTAGATCTGGGAGAGCGCGCGAATTGCGTCTAGTGCGGGGATGCGGGGCGATATGGATTCGATGTGCCAGCTTTTGGAGGGGGCTTTGGCGTTCCCTCGTTGGCGGTTATGCAGTATCTATGATAACAAAGGTGTATGAAGAAAGTATGAAGAAGTGGGTGGAGACAGTTGACGAGGAGAAACGCACCATTCCTACCCGAATTTAGGATATTGCTACTATCTTTTTGGATACAACACAGCACGGGAGACTCGCCATTGAGCGGGGAGACGCCGGGTGAGAGCCTCGCGGTCGGGGACGATGATCCCGACGTGCTTGACTCGTATGACGGCCGCGAGGACGAATCATTCGAAGTGTGTTTCAAGGCCGAGCGTCGGAGACACTGGCTCATTGAGATCCGCGCCTCCGTTGGCGCTGAACACCCGGTAGTGGAGGGTTCGGTTACAATCCGATTCGACACCCGTGCCAATGATGTTCGGAACGTAGAAGTAGCTTCATCACCCTTGTCTTGTCTCTGCCTGTGGGCGAGTTTGGATGAGAGCGATTTCCAGAGGGAGAGGTGTGAAGCGGCGGGCGTCATGGGGTGGGGTGAACAACGCTGGCTAAAACCACGCATCTATCTCTGTTCTACTTATACAAGTGGGGAAGGACAATTGAGTCAATTTGACTTTAGCACTGGTTCACAGCCTTGGGGTCACGCGGGCGTGGGGCGGATACGGGTCATGGAAGCAACCCGGGCCAAGAAAAAATGCTCAAATCGGCGGACTTTGTGCATGGGGATGGGAACAGAGGAGTGAATAGGCATAGGCCTCACTGAGCAGACACAGACTCTGGATTTCACAACCACGATAAATAATTGATGGATATGATACAGTGCGGACAGCCAGAAAAGCAAATAGAGGAAAAAAATGAGAGGTTTCGGGTGAGCGGGATTGGTATCGGAGTTTACTGGCAGAATGCGCGCATCAGCGTCTGAACGAAAGAGAAAGGAGGCCGGTAAGACATACCATGAAATCCGCCCATGTGGGCTCCGGCATTTCCTCCTCCTCTGGCGCAGGCGGTGGTGCAGGTGCCACGAACCGCAGTCTCCGTTGCCTCGTCACCGGGGAGACTTTAACGGCGTCCGATTCGTCGCCAGTGTCGTCGCCGGAGGACTCGAAAGTAAGAGACACCTCGTCCCAGTCTGGGGGCGGCGGCAGCATGGGGAACACGCGACGCTGCCTGCGGGGTGGGGATGAGGGTTGGGTGCGTGCAAGGCAACCCTTTATTTTTTCGAGGGAGTTTTGACGACGCTTGACAATGGGGGCCGCGTCTTTCAGAAAGGAAATGAGATTAGAAATGAGTTGATAGGGGGGCAAAAGAGTAGGGACGTACCGATGAGTCTTTCCTCCGGTGTGAAAGCGAGCACGGCGAACGTAATGTTCAACTCGGAACCCGGCGGCGAAGAGGTAGGAGAGGACGAGGAGGAGCTCGAGGGGCTAGAGTCCGAGTCGTATAGCTGGCTCGAAGGCCGCTTCTTCAAGGCCGAGCGTCGCGGACGTGGGCGCGAGGAGGTTGGGGTAGCTGCCGGCGACGGTGTGGCGGAGTTCGCTGTAGTCGAGGACCGCGAAGGGGACTTCGTGTGCCTCGTAGCAAAGGGCGATGAGAGTGACGCCCAAAGAGATGTGCGGCGCCACGAAATAGTAGTGGTGGTGGTGCGAGTGGTAAAGGGAGTTGTGCGCAGCATGGTTGAAGTGCGTTTAGGATTGCCAGCGCCCCGCGAGCTCTTATAAGGCCACGAGAAGTGAAACGATCGAGGGTCTAGAATTAATTGCACCGCCCTTTCCGCTGCCCCCAATTTCCTGTGCCGAGGCCCCGAGGACGCAGGGTTAGCCTCCAACCGTGCTGCAAGAGCAAGAAATATCCGTACTCTAATGCACGTTCTTGAGGTTGGATGGAATCTGGAATGTGGTGACTAGAGTGAAGTTGTAGGAATATTGCGCCTAGGTGATAAACAGTGGGGGTGCAAGGTAAGACACCCGAGCCCCCTACACGATTTCGCGGAGTGTCTCTCGTTCTGAATAGGCGGATCAGTGGGAGCGAGACACACCGCCATCATATAGGGGCCGGATGTCTGACGCGCACGCACCACGTGTTGTTCAAGCATAGACGGAGCGCAGAGTGCCGGGCGAACAGCGCATTTGATCTGCATGAAATATCGAAAAGCGGACTGCCATTTGCAGTTATTGAGCACATTTCTGAGGCAACATCAAACGCTTCCTCCCGTTTTTTTTTTGCCACTTAGACTGTGCTTGGGTCCCTAAGCAGAAACTTTGTTTCTTTCCCAAATAATTGGGCACACCGTTTCAGTCGTCACACAAAAGCCTCGATGTCAAGTACGTACCTCGCAGCAACCAGTTTTCCTTTTCTGGCGTGCTTCGGTTCTGTTCATATAAAACCGGTCAGCGGGAGAAAATCGGTCCTTCTTCTACACCACCATGTCCAGTAACCCTGACCCCAATGCCCTCGGCGGGCGGAAGAGAAAGGCAGCCCCGGGGTCTGCACCTGCATCGTCGTCGTCTACAGCCCATCCCGAGCCCGGCCACTGGATTCGTCAACGTCGCTCCCGCTCCGCGTTCCGGTCGTGGAAGCCGCCGCCGCGACTTTACAGCTCAGATCAAAGCCGCTTTCCCCACTGCCGCTGCCATGAATGCTGCTACGAAGGATTTCGAGACGCAGAGACCGTCGAAGCGTCGCGCCACAGAGATACAACACTCCTGCGCCCGAGATCACAGTGGCGCTCACCCCAGAGCAAGCCGATTTCCTCCGCACCTGCATCGCCGCTGTCGTCGCCCGGCATCCCGAATTTGCGGCAATCGACGTTCAGACGCTCGTCACTGCTGGGTTGTCGGTCGAGCGGCTAACCGTGATTTCTAAGCACAGGATACCGGCGTGCGGCGTCGATTTTACGAACCCGAGTCTGTGGTTGCAGTTCCAGAGGGCCGTCAAGCTCTGGGTCGAAAATTCGGCGACGAGAGACGAGGTCGAGGAATGTGTGCAGATGCTTGTCGCCGCGTATCCAGGAGTTGTTACAAAGGACCTCGCACCGAAGCTCCAATGGGACGACTTCAGCGTATCCGATCTTCTTGGATTCAGCGCGGCAGATATCGGCTACTTCGGACTCGTCGTCGAAGAATCCGTCTGGGGGACGATTTTGGCCTCTATCGAAGGCTGGTTGCAGGAGCGCCCCAATCCGATGTAGCAATATTGAAGTGACGACGGCGAGGAAAAGGTGAATGAGCAGATGCAGCGTATTCATACATTTGTGATAGAGTGTAGTTCTTTTTTTGAAGTCGTTCAAGTCGTAGCGAAGAAATACTGGCGATAAACGAGAACAGAGCATGGCGCAAAGAGGCATGGCGCAATGGGAGCACTTTTGATTCAAGAGCACAGCCACCCGCTTCCGATCAGTTTATTCTCCCGCGCCCGCGAAGGCAGCACATTGCGTCTGCTGGGTCAAGGCGCACTAGAATGAGTGCTCATACGAAGAGATAAGTGTTTCCCTTTCCATTGGTTCTCATCTTGCGCGTCTGGTAGCTGAATGACTTCCAGTGTACCTCGATTCTCCGCTATTTTTCAACTTAGCTCGATGAAAATGTCGCTTCCCACCGTTAAGGCGCATCTGAAACATGAAGGCGCATCTGAAACATGTACTGGAGGACACATATTAGCATGATAAGGTTCTAACTGGAAAATGGTGTAACACGAAACACCTTTGTGACATTCAACCATCAAGTCGATGCCATGCCACATCAGCCGACTCCCGTTCCACCGCATCATCCTCACGGTCCTTAGCGCAACGGTAGGGTGTTTGGTTATAGCCTAGCCATGTCCAGTTGCCTTTGCGTCAACTCTTTAAAATAACTCAGACATAAAGTTTTCAACATACCACCTATTATTTTCGCCTTTCCCTTCCTTGGTATCGGGTGCTTAGCGCAATGGTAGCGTGTTTGGCTTCGATGCCACGACACCAAAAGGTTGCAGGTTCGAGTCCTGCAGTGCTCACTGTTTTTGTTTCAGGCGGGGAGAGGTAGAAATGCCCGCGTTGTTCGAACAAAATGCGCCCGGAACAGAAGTCTTCATTCGTTTGAGTCAAAGTCGCGTAACATTTTTTGCGAGCGTTTTGGAAGACCGCAGGTTCGATTCCCACAGTGCGCATTTTGATCTTCTGTTCCTAACCCTACCTGCGACCACTTTAACCTTTTCTCCAGCCGCAGACCAAATGAAGCGCACAGCAGTGGTCTAGTGGAAAATTACCCATTCCGCAAACTGAAAACCATTTTCATCCTCCTCCGCCCTGCCCCATATGCATGTGAAACGTGGGGAGCCAACCGGGGATGAGCGGAAGCAGAGCGGAATCAGATTCCAACACGATCACGTGCTTGGTTGATTTCGGAGATACCCGATCGGAGTGGACGCGGGTCGATCTGGGTCGATGCTTCCGGGGAAATGCTGTGATCTCGAAGGATGTCGACTAATTTTGACGAGTGGATTCTGTGCGTGACGTGGTCATCTATCTATGCTGACAAGTGGCGGGAGTGCGCGTGAGGTCTCCAATCAGAGACTAGAGTTGATCATTGCGATTACTAGATATGAGCGGGAGAATGTCGAGGACTGATAAGTAGCGAGGAAACCACGGGTCACAGAGGGCTGGCCAAAAAAAAGGCCTCGTAGTAACTAATGAGAGCGGCAAAGTCGTTCACTCAATATATTTGAATGGAGCGCCGTTACCATTGAATACTATGAGATGCGAATGCCAAAGAAGAACCGAAGAAGTAACAGGCGCCTGAAGTCTGGCTGGAGAAGAGGAAAACAGCCTGGTAGTAAGAATCAGAGCGCGAAGGCCACTCACCCAATATATTTGACTGGAGCGTTAATGTGAATAGCAGCAGAACACGTACTCTGAACTGGAAATGGAATGAGGGAGGTGCGAGACTTCAAATTCAGGGAATGCCCAATGAAGACGAACAAAATCAAGGATAAAGGATGAGAGTGGATCAAGGAAGGATCCAAGTTGCGTGTTCGCTGGGAAGGAAGAATGCCACGACAATAAGATCGGTTTCCCCGTGTAACTCAGTGAGAGTAACACAGGGGAAGAACCTGGCGTTGGCCCATATATAAATCGGCATCCGCACCGTCAATTAAAAGAAGCACGGAAAGTACACAAAGCGGAGAAGAGATTAAGAGGGGGTAGAGAATTCGCCGAGGAGATCGAAAGTAGAGTTAAAAGGAGCCGTAGAGCGCTACAAAAGCCTCCTTAATGACGAACTAGTAAGAACTTCTAGACGAGAAGTTGAGCGAGAGCTTCTGACCGCAAGACTCCACAAATCAAGGAGCAAACTTAGAGCACAGGGAAAATCGGGCGATCAGCGATGTATTTAGTCGCTTTTACGTCACAAGTACATTAAAAAGGGACGGGAAGGATAAAGGGAGGGAATTTTAGTATGTATGCGTGATTACACTACATGCTGCTCAAGCAGGGAGGCACTGAGAATAGTCTGGGAGAAAAGATTATCAACGATCAAATCAGGTTGTGGAACAGAGTGGGACTCACAAGCGTTGAGGACGGTGCACTTAGTCGAGCTGACACAAGAGCCGCTGCCAGTCCAGCCAATTCCACCGCACTGGGAATACGCGGGAAGGCTTCCGCCGGTGGGCGGGGGAGGCGGGGGCGGGGGCTGAGTCGGACCAGTGGTGCCAGAGGTCGTGGTGGCGGTGCCGTTGGAGCTGAAGGTCGTGCCAATGTCACCGAACTTGATGTTCGAGAAGATGACAGAGTTGCTGGCCTCGCCAGACTCGACAGTCTTGGGGTCTCCGGAGGTGATCGAGCAGGGTCCACGGGCAACACCGGGCTGGGAGGCGGTTCCGTTGGTGGGGTAGAGGCTGTCGAGCCAGTACATGCCGGCGGTGTCGTCGTCCCAGATGCTCAAAGCCAAAACCATGCCGCTGGCGAGAGCTTTGCCCATGGCCGCGAGCCCGCCGCGGGTCTCGAAGCTGTTGGTGTCGCCGAACGCGGTCTTCTGCTCGTTGCAGAACGCATCGGTGATCGAGTTGACAGCGGGGGAGATTCCGGCGATGTTGGTGTTCGAGTTCTGGATGACCTTGCCGTTCTGCACGTAGATGCGGTTGATCGATGTGAGGGTGCCAGATGGGGCGAGGAACTGGGTGACGACAGTGAACTTGGAGTTGGTGTCGACGGTCATGCCGGGCCCAAGGAAGGTCTGGTCTCCCATGCGGTAGGAGTTGAAATCGCATCCATCCTTGTCGCAGATACCGTCAGAGCGGTCAGCGCCGTCACCGCACGTCGTGGGGGTGGTGCACTCGGTCAGACCCGACGAGCTGCAGACGTGGGGTGTGAATGCCGCGGCGTTCTTGTTCGCTGTTATTTGGTTCAGTATCATGTACAAAGACTTCTCAAGGACTGCGAACCTTCCCAGATATCCATCTCTGTTTTTTTTTGGTGTCTGTCAGATCATCGTCTCACCGATAAAGAACTCGACAACTAACCGTTGCAGCAAGTTCCAGCCTGTCCGGCGCCAGAGTTGGGGTCGGTGGCGGAGGTGGTCCAGTTAACAATGTTAGCCTTTCGAAAAGATCAAAACCAATTGATTCACAAAAGAGGGCAGACTCACTGCGCCGTTGATGAACTTGATGTCGTGGGGGCACTGCGAGTCGCAGTAACCAGTCCCGTATTGGGCACCAGCCTTGTTGGTCGACGAAAGACCGCCGTTGGCGGGCATTTGGCTGAGGTAGAGCGCGCCGTTGAGCCCGCATCCCAGGTTCGACATGTCAACGTCGAAGGTGAATTCCTTGTTGAGGAGCTGGAACAGCTGGTAGCTGGTGTTGTTGGCCATGAGGTAGACGCGGGAGCCGACGTTGGCGCCTGGAAATCATTGAGAATATAGGCAGAGAGATAAAGCGAGGGGAAGGCAGCGCACCAGTGACGAAGTTGAGCGTCAGAGCGTTGCCGCTGGTCGAGATACCATAAGTCGACTCGTATGCAGCGCCGTCGAGAGCGCAGTTCGCCGCGCAGGTGACGGGATCGGGGCAGAGGGCGGCGTCCCAGGTGTTGCCTTCAGAATTTTTCAAGAAGAGAAGGGAGAAAGGGAGGGAAAATATCCACCAGTGTAGCAGTTGGTGGTGCTGTTAGTTGCGTGGGTCCAGCGCCAGTTGCTGTCGAGGACGACGGAGGTCTGAAGGGTCGTGCATCCACTGGCTGTGCACTCCTGCGAGGTCATCATGGGGTGGACTAGGAAGAACGTTGAGCAACGTTGGAGCGATGAGGCAGACTGTGATCGTACCTTCCGCCACTTGGGTACCAATCTGCTGCGCCGAAACGACGGCCAGCAGACAGAAAGAGATCAAAGATGCAGTCGGGAACATGTCTATTGCTCCATGAGCGACGAACATCGTATGAAGAGGACAGTCATACCGAAAAACGAAGACGGGGTTGTACCTGTGAGCGACTCGGATGAGTATGTAAATCTGCTTCAAAGAATGAAACAAACCGTGGGTCCTGTGTAGCTGAGGAGAGGCGAACAGCGGAGTGGTGAGGACTGCCAGAAACCGATGTTGCGGGTTCCATTTTATAGTGCGCTAGTTCGGTTGAGAGCATCATTGCATGCAACTCGTGAGCTGGAAAGGGAAGGATATATGTCGGGGCCATACTATCCAATGAGACGCTCATTTATCGGGACAAGAACGAAGGAAAGAAGTGCCGCAGATATCAGTGATGTGCGGCAACAAGTCGGCTCCCCTGAAAACTTCTAGCCAAGACCATGCCAAGCCCATCGAGTCTGTTCCCATGTCTGCGAACGGGTGCGAACGAGACTAAATCCCCAGCGGGTAATCTCCGGCACGGTCGAACTGTTTTGGCATCTGCATCAGGTGTTCGCAAGCATCGGCGACCTCGAAAAGCAGCTTTCATCCTGGGGCACGGTTACAAGGATAACCGAGGTCCCAGTATGTTTTGCATTATCTGAATGGCAGTTACTTTGCGGAAAGGGCAATTAAAAACGAATTGGAAAACGCTTCAGCGAAACGAGCTAGAGACGACTGGACACCCCTAGGTAAGTGCGATTGTGGTCCGCGATATCTGGATATCGGAAATAGAAGTCCATAAGTGGTTTCCTGCCGAGAATAGGATGGTACTGCTTCCGGGGTGAGGGAGAGCCACCGCCAAGGCCGCAGCCAAGGCCACAACGGCAAGTTTTGTAGGCGAAAATTCGGGATCCCTCCCATCTTCGGATATGGACCTTCTGGAGGGGTATAGAATAAACGGCAGAGCTTGTCCGGCTTGAATAATGTTTTCGTGAGCTTTGGAGGAAGTGGCCGAACAACACTTGATAAGGTCGGTGATATCGGTTCGTATATACGGGGAAACAGCGGCACACATCATAGCACCGCTTCATTCTTCCTTTTCAGGATCATGTCGTTGAGCGCTGAGGCCTGAGGCCTGAGGCCCTGGCGCAAATAAACGCTCGCCATCGACAATCTCGAACACTCAAGCTGATCAACAAATGCTTTGGAAGGGCGGTCCCCAATCCTCAACTGTCGATTTCCTGCAGCGTATCATTGCAAGTAGTACGAGAGTATTGCTTCACGTTTGCAGTTGGGCCAGATGCCGCCGGATCTTCAATCGAATTTCTTCGCGTACGACACGGCGAACAGTTGCCATTTTCTCCCCAATGCGCCCGTGGCACGCAACATTACGTCCTGGTAAAAATACTGCTCAAAAGGCTAGATGCACTCTGACTCTACGCCAGCGGAGGCGTCTGCAGACACAACTCACAAGTACCGGAAGATCCGGATTCTGCATCGTGACCGTGAACATATCGGTGGCTTTACTGTCTGGCAGCGGTGAAGTTCACGTTCCCCCTCCCGTTTTAATTTTTTCTCTGACGAAACAGACTGCGCCTTTGGACCCCGTGCCGTAGACTTTCGCTGGACTTTCGAGTCTGAAAAAATGCAACTATCAACCAAGGTACACGAACTGCGGGCCTTGG